CCGCAGCGAGATGTCAGTGAGAATCAGGAAGCCACAAACACAATGCTGAACACCCGTGGATCCGGCCGGCTCGCTCCATCTGCGCCAGTTCCGCCCCCCGCCGCTGCCTATCCACCCGCTCCCTTCCTGCCCTTCCTAGGCAGAACACCTCGTATTTGTCATTACTGGATTCCATCTAATTGATTTCAGACTCCATCCAATCTATCAGGATCATTTTGAACCCTATTCCCCAAAGGGCCTGCAATCCTCCCTGCTTGGCATCATGCACATTTTCTTCCAAGTGAACTCTATTCCAGGGGACACTTCCAAGAAAATTTCACTGGGACTGAACAGCAGTCACAGGCTTAGAGCGTAAGTTTGCTCATGAGACTATCATGAGGGACTGTGTCAAAACCCTTATTCAGGATACATTTATTCCTTCCCCTTTAACCATTCTGCTGCTTAGCCAGAATGAGATCAGACTGACATGGCACAGTCTGTTCCCGGTAAACCTATACAGACAGTGTATCGCACTACGATCTACACATTTGTAAAACTGACAGATCAGTGTGTTGGAACTTCATCTAGCACACCGAAGGTGAGCTGCCTGGTTGGCAATTCCGGAGGTCTGTCTCCTTTGGGAAAGGAAGTACAATATCTGCCCTCTTACAGCCTTCTGGAAATCCCTTGATCTCCAGGTGCTCCTGAAAATATCACCCATGGAGCAGAAATCACAATGGCTCATCCTTTAAATGCTCCTCAGTACATTTCATCAGGCCTGGTGAACTTGAACACATCCATTTATGTAAACATTCCCTGTTCTTTCCCTTTTCTCGCCTGCAGTCCTCATGAAAACTCCTGGCAGTAGGCATTTGAAAACAATTTACCCTTTTTTTCAGTAAGATCAAAGAAAATAAGACAATGATTATTTCAACTTTTTCTGTACTTTCTACTTTTCAGGTTATTTTGTAATCGATTTCTGTGTGTTTTTCCATCTTAATCCCAATATATTAACAGAAACTTTCTCTGTGGCCTTACTTGTCCTTGCTAAATGAAATCCCTTTTGCACTTGATTCTCTCTAGTTCTACCCCAGCCTGCTTGCAGTATTCTTGTTATTCCTGCAGCTTTATTTTTGACTGTCTGATCATTAAAAAGCTCCTGATGCACCTGACAGTGTACCGTCTTGTATTTAATGCAAGAGCTTTCCGTGGTGGCTAATAAATCAGGGATCCTTTAATCCTCAGTATAAGAGCATGCACGTAAGTGATGATGGAGTAACTTGTGTGAACTAAGAGCCTGGCATCTGCTCTACGACAACTGCATCCATACCTGCTCTGACCCTGTAGTGAACCTACAGCAGCTCACTCTTCTCTCATCACAGGGTAAGTTTCCTCGCATTTGTCATGAGCAGTTACATGCACACAGCTAGTTACCAAAGGGTAGCTGCATCCTTAGCCACATTGCATGTGCACTCCTTCACTTATTAGCAATAATCTCTCATATGCTCACACCCTGTTCTTCACAAGTGATTTTACGTAACAGCTCCCTGTCTTCACTGATGTTTCTTGCTTCTTTTGGATCCATCATCCTCTTCTGCAGTCACTATATGCTTCCTTTCCTAGGAGCAGTCAGCTCTAGATTTATAACCATTTTCATGACACATGCATTCTACCATTAGGTTTTCAGTAAGCTCCTGCTCATCAAATTTTAAGTTCCTAGGCTGTTATGTTCCTGAACCATCTAAAACACAAAGCTGTTCCATGAAGATGCTGGCTATCCCAAGAACCATAGAAAGCATTCGGCTGTAGTATTTTTGCAACAGCTATCCAGATAACTGTGTTACCACCAGACCCTGTCCTTCAGATGCACCTAACAGCAGATAAGACAACACTAACAATCCGGGGGAGCGGGGGGGGGGAGACCACAAGTGAAATCCTGGGGCTCTGAGTCCAGGTCTCCTGAAAATTTATTAACACACAGAAAGAACAACAAAAATCACATTCTCCCACACTCTACCCCTTCAGGGTCAAGTGCTCAGTTAATCTCCTGAAAGTCAACTACAGATCAACTATGATTGCTGATGCATTTTCACTTCCACACAGAATATAAGTATAGAACCACAAAAATTTTGTCTCCGAGTAAGAAGTTGCCAGGCCAGATCAAAGGGGATGCTGAGAGCTGCCTGGCCATTCTGGGACAGGTAATAATTTGTGATCAAGAAGTAATACATTTTTTTTCATCAAAAAACCAAGCAAACAGGGCTCACTTCAGGAGCATTTATTTTCTTTATGTGGCTTCAAATGGAGCCTGGCCCTCTCTGCTCTGCACTAGCATGCTGCCTTCCGAACAGCTCTCTCAGACCACCCTATCTCCCCTCTCCTTTCTGTCCCCTATACCTGCTGCTCTGCAAAGTGAGTGCCTGACTTGCCATCACCACAGAGACAAGCATCCCAAAGCAGCGTATGACATGATTACTGAAGGATTTAGAGAGCCTCCACATGGAAATTTCCAAATAGTGGCAATTTTCCAACAGGACTCTCTTGCTCTCAAGTTACACAATATGTCAGCTGATAATAACTTTCCCTTCTGGTGTGGTGGAAGAACGTAACCTCCGCTGAGATCACACAGGCAATGAAAGCCACCTTTTTTTTGTTTGTTCTTGCCCTCCACACTACTCAAGAATCTGTGGTCATCACTCCCTGAGCACCTGTGCTGAAATGGCCATCTTCAAATGGAGAAACAAATGGTTATGAACTGATTTTGAACAAATCAGGTCAGAAATTACATGAGTTTTGATTATCAAAACAGCAAAAAAGCATAGTAAGGGTAAAACCCCAGCGGAGATGGAAGTGGAGCTGGCCCTGTTTATAAAGAGGATTACACAACATGGTTACCTGCAAGAGCAGGGACTGGGATGATGGGTCTACAACCCCTTCTGATTCAGTGTGCCTAAACTGATCTTCTACAAGTGATACCATCTGCCAAACACAAGTGACAGAGGATGAGACCTACAGATATCAGAAAGGTACAGTAAATTTGTTTATTCAGCTATCCAGAAACTGAATAGTTTGGATACAGTTGGAAACAGAACCTAAACAAGGTAGGAGAAGCAGCCTGAAGATGCGTTGGAGGGGAGTGTCCCCAAAGGAAAGTGACAGTATGAAAGACAGCAACAAAGATGCCAGGGAAGACAGAAAGCCATAGTGCCATAGCAATCTTGGATTATCAGATTTATTGAGTGTGTTGCGGTATTGCTGAGACGCTTCCAGCACTGAACAGTGCCCTACTATGCAAGCTAATGTACACACAGGCAGCTGACAGACAGTCCCTGCCCTAAAGAGCTCAGAATTACAGGAATGACAAGATGCAACAAGCAGATGAAGCAATGGAAGATGTAACAATCCCTGCCCACTGCACTGCCCTCAAGTCTTGGACTAGGGTAAACGGAGGCTGCAGATGAAGATGCTATCACTTGAGAAGCATTTTTCTCCAATCAGAGAAGAATTTTGATCAGTATTACTACTCACCGCGAGCAAGCATCCAGCAAAAACAGTAAATCCCTTTGCGTGAAGCCGTTTTGCCAAGGCATGTCCAAAACCTTTGTCACAGCCTGTTATTAGCACCGCCTTCCCTTCAGTCTGTGTGGGGAAAAGACAGTAATACAATACCATCACATATTGCAATGCTGCAGGCACCATCAGCACCCAGCGACATAGCACAGGAACAACTTGCAGCCCTGCAGCCGGGGCCAGCCAGTGTTTAGGAGGTACGATTCCAGCTGCGAGCCACAGTGGGCATATACCTGTCTGCACGCTAACCTGACTACAATTTAAAAACCAGTTTCAGTGGAGCTTCTGCTGGGTCAACCCTCGTAAACAAGATGACAAGATTCCTGTGTAGAACCACAAACAGCTCCCAACTACTGTGAAACCCTAAATTTATTCAATTGCCAGTCTGTAACAATTTGTGTTGCCTTGATACCCGAGCTAGAACAGTAGTGCTTTCTTTCAAGTATCAGTGGCCAAAGCAGAACAGAAACATTTCAAAAGAAATTAGTGATCTACCTGCTCATAGGCATTATAAGAAAGAGCAGCATAGAAAACATCCAAATGATAGTATGTCACCTGCTTGAACTGTACAGCAGCTATTTTAACTGCAGAGTGACTCTCTATTGTCCGTTCCCCACCTACTCCCGCTCTATGCGGTACTTTCCATGCTGTATTTTAGCATATGGGAATGTGAATGTTAGGGTTTCCTTCTGAGACACTGCAGTCTTAACAGGAACAACTTATCAAGTCCTATGGTTCCCTCCTACACTATTATTACCTTTTGACTGACGGATAAATTGAAAGAGAAGATTTGATACTCCATCTGGTATGACACAACAGGCTTGTGATAGATCTGAAAACAGAAACCCAAATCCTGAAGACAAGCCTGTAGCGAAACACTGCCCATTCACCCTCTTTCTTTGCTTGAAAGCCATCTCTCCCCTGCTCTCCTCACCACAGCTGTGAAGCACTGAACTCTTAACGCAACCAGCAGGCACCCAGCTGCAGTGCTGCACACTGCTCCAAACTGAAACCATATCCATGAGGCAATAATGTGATATAGTAATAAAGATATAGAGAATGCAATAAGGAAGTGAGGTCACTTCCATCTCTGTGGAGATATCTGCAACTAATATTCCCTGTTACTGTATTAACAATTATACTACTTACATATGAATTGCCCCGGCTTGCCCAGCCACTTTTTCAGACAGAAATGGGGCAATCACGGGTGCGTTCTGATCTCGTTTTGCTGACATGCATGGTAGTGAAGTGGCAATAAGGAATAATTGCAGGGTGATAGTGATCAGAGCATTACTGCACAAACTCAAGATGAGCCTAAGCAGAGAGCAATATGCAAATAAGCTACATGCTGTCCTGTCCTATAACTTGTGTTGAAGTTATTGCTTTCAAAGGGGAATCATGATCTGAAATTGAAATGAGAACTGATCAAAAGTCTACCCTGCATTTATCATACAAACACCCACGTTAACACTGATTCCTACACTCAAAGAGCACCCAGCTACAGGCTAGCTCTACTAAAGCTCTGAAGGTAGCTACAGCTAAAGGACAAAAGACAAGTGAGAATTAAATATACAGTGCTCAGACTTAATTTAATTTACAGTGACACAACTCCAAGAGAGATGAGGATCAAGTATGAACCAGATCACAGAATTTGCCAAGGTTACCTCCCACAATAATTCAGCAAGCTGGCCCATGGAAAAGAAAGGATTTGACTTTTTTCTCTACCTCACCTCCCCAGACCCTTTGCCTCTGAATCCTGAAGACAGAGAACTTCCCAAAAGAGCAGGAAGTGTGCAGGAGATAAGGAGGTGCAATCACTTCCAGAACCCAGGACAGGCAAACAGAGAAGACACCCAATCCTCAACCATCATTAGCTCCTTCATCAGCGGGTCTGATAAGGACAGAGATCTGCTGCAGGAAATAAAAGCAAATGGCTGGGCTGTGTTCCTGCGTGCATCTAGTTTCAGCTCGCTGCAGCTGGTTTGCTTTCTCTGGTTAAAAAAAAAACAACCAAACCACCAAAATGTAGACAGAAAGGAGGAGGTTTAAAAATCCTCTCAGCTGTCTATAATGGGGAGAAAAGTGAGGAACAACTTACAGTATGAGAAGGTTCCTGTGATTATGTGTTAATTATTTGCTATTACCCTAGTTGCCGGTAATAAAACACGTGACTACAGCAGCAAGGTTCATAACAGACTGACGCCCCAGCACTAACAAGCGTGCAAAAACCCAAAGGACATACTAGGTCTCACATCTGTAGCTGCCTCCGTCTTTGTGCCATGCCTGGTTAACAAAGAGCTGCCAGGGATGAGAGCAAGAAGTGACCCCATTCCCAGCCAAAGAGATCCTATCCCCAAAAAACCTCCGAACACGGAAAAACCCAATCATCCTTATCTTTTTAAAGCCCCAAGATAAGGCCTAATGGGCCTCGTTCCTGGAATTTGATAAGGTCAGTCTGCAGCTTACAGTTTGACACAGTGCCGAGACAGGCAGAGAGGACTAGCTGTCACCTCTCTAGCAGGCATCACAGTGACCTTAATTAGCCTTCTGAGGAACTTCAGGGGCCTCAATGTGCCACTAACGATGACACAGCGCTCAGGAAATACTGCACAGGAGATGGCAGGGCACCTGAGACCTGCTAAGAGTGCAGAATAACTGCTTGTACTAGAGGTGCTGCTGTGGCATCTGGGCAGGATAATGCTGTCTGTACCCTCGCAGATTCAAGCATGTTCCACGCAGTTCAAACAGCCCCAGCGAGGCAGCCTGATTTCAACCTGCAGCCAGCTCAGGTGCACACACCTCACTACCTTTCTCTACTGGGATATGATTGCTTTATTAAATAGTAAAATTTATTTTACTCATGCAGGTGATCTATCAAAATTATACACATTTATTGCAAAAGAGGCTAAGGAAAGTGAAGCTACTTTTTCAGCCTCAGTCTCACTAGTTGCCTGGAGTGACTACATCAGTGGACATGGGAAGGGCTATCGATGTCGTGTATCTCTGTAAGGCCTTTGACACAGTACCCCCACAACATCCTTCTCTCTAAACTACAGAGGTATGGATTTGGTGGGTGAGGAATTGATTGGATGGTCGCATCCAGAGGGTAGTGGTCAACGGCTCAATGTCCAGAGGGAGATCAGTGACAAGTGGTGTCGTGCAGGGGTCCATACTGGGACCGGTACTCTTTAATACCTTCATCAATGACATAGACAG